CTATCAAAGCCAAGTCTATCAAAGTCAAGTCAATCAAAGCCAAGTCTATCAAAGTCAAGTCTATCAAAGCCAAGTCTATCAAAGCCAAGTCTATCAAAGGTAAGTCTATCAAAGCCAAGTCTATCAAAGTCAAGTCAATCAAAGTCAAGTCAATCAAAGTCAAGTCTATCAAAGTCAAGTCTATCAAAGTCAAGTCTATCAAAGCCAAGTCTATCAAAGCCAAGTCTATCAAAGTCAAGTCAATCAAAGCCAAGTCTATCAAAGTCAAGTCTATCAAAGCCAAGTCTATCAAAGCCAAGTCAAGTCTATCAAAGTCAAGTCTATCAAAGTCAAGTCTATCAAAGTCAAGTCTATCAAAGTCAAGTCTATCAAAGTCAAGTCTATCAAAGTCAAGTCTATCAAAGTCAAGTCTATCAAAGCCAAGGCTATCAAAGCCAAGGCTATCAAAGCCAAGTCTATCAATGCCAAGTCTATCAACGCCAAGTCTATCCATCCAAACCAAGTCTATCCATCCAAGCCATGTCTATAAAAATCAAGTCTATCAAAGTCAAGTCTATCAAAGCCAAGACTATCCAAGTCGAGTTGATTGAGTTAAGTGAATTTTTCAAGGTAAATCGAATCTGATCCGATTTGTTCATTCTAAATGAAATCATATTTTAATCAAAATTCGAGTTCGTCAAATAATACAAATATTTTACCTAAAAGAGCGGTCCCAGAATAAGCGTTCTTTTGTGTTGCAAATTCCGGGGCGTTCTTTATATGTTCATCATGTTTCCTGAACATTTTTTGTTGCAATAAATATCTCAATACATACATTAATTTTTGTTGTTGCTTATTTTGATCTAAGAAACGTCAAACTTTTACGTGAATCCAGGAAAAGTTTATAAACTGCAAAGAGTTATAAAAACTTGAAAATCCGCCAATAAACAGAAAAATCTGCGCACTACGGAGCAAAATGTTAACAAACAATCTTTAAAAAGTACAATGAGAGGCCTAAAAATTAACCTTAGATATATTCTGTAGCTCCTGGATCCTCTGTTAACCAAGTTGAGAATACATTTCAGAGTTTTAAGAACTCCATGAACAGAATGCCGTGTTAATCGTCGGTTCAAATATTCACCTAGATGCAAGGATCAATTAAAAATATGAAAAAATGTGTCAACAGCCCCCCCCAACACATCTCTTCCTCCAAACATTAATAATGCTTAGACCATTATTATAATAAACCCTTCACAATTTCATAATTGATGTAACCGATTTCTCCCTTTTTAAGCAAAATGTAATTTTATCAAATTTTCCTTAAAAATTAAAATATGTTAGTGTTTTATAAACACTGTTTATCCCTCAATATCACAGATTCAATGATAACAAAAACATTAGAAAAATGGGAAAATCTGCTGCTGGGAAAATTTCAGGAGGGAATTCATGTTGAGAAGAATTCTTTCAGGGAAGAAATAGCAGTTTGAAAACAGTATTAGTTCAGTACTGAAAGTTAGAACTTTTCAAAAAAACGAGAAATAAAAAAAAATTGTTCAAAAGTACAAAAGTACAAAAAGTACCAAAATCTACGATATGTATAAAAAGTACAAAAAGTACAAGAATAAGTACAAAAAGTAAAAAACAAGTACAAAACAAGGACAAAAAAATACAAAATAAGTACAAAAAGTAAGAAAAGTACAAAAATTACAACAAGTACAAAATGAGGACAAAATAAGTACAAAAAGTACAAAAAGTAAAAAAGGCACAACATGTATAAAAAGTACAAAAATTACAAAAAGTTACCTATGAGTATTGAATTCTT